GTGTGTGTGTGTGTGTGTGTGTGTGTTTACAGTATGTCATGTATGCCCCAAGTAGGTACAACATGCCAGGCTGTATCCAGACTTCTCAGGGCTGCAGCAACCAATCAGACCAGCAGGGCATCCCAGCACCAGGCTGGGGAGTGAGCCCATGAACGGATAAACAAAATAGCCCTGGTGATTTCAGACTGAAAAACAAAATTAAGTCCTCAGGCAGAGAGACCGGTGGGAGGACACTGGACAGTCCATGAAATGTCTGACCCTTGTTAACTTTCTTTCTTGGCTTTGAGCTCAGTGAGGGCAAGATCAAACCTAGGACAGTGCCAGGGGCACAGTAGGTGCTCCATAAATATCCAGGGACTTAAAAGAGTAGATTTCACTCAAAGTGGATCCAGAGAATTTGAGATCAGGAAAGAGACTTATCATGAAGCAACCCAGTCCCTTCCCTTTTTTAGGAAAGAGTTCAGTGAGTCCTTGAGTGTCGCCTTTCATACAGAAGTGGGGAAGGGTGGCCAAGTGTGGAGGTGCACACCTGTAATCAAAGCACTTGGGAAGCTGAGGCAGTAGGATCTCCACAAGGTCCACCATGGCTTGGGCTACATAGTGAGACCCAGTCTCAAAAAACAAAAGCTGGTGTAGAGTGGTAATCCCAGCAACTTGGGAAACTGAGGCAAAGGGAAAACATGAGCGCAAGGCCAGCCCGCACTACAGAGCGAGATCCTGTCTCAAAAAACAAACAAGCTAAAGACATGGCTATGGGGCCGGGGAAATGGCTCAGTGGAGTAAGTGCTTCCCTGGCAAGCGCAAGGGCCTGAGTTCAATTCCTAGTTCTGCAAAAAAAAAAAAAAAAAAAAAAGACATGGCTATGAACAACTGAGAAAGGGACCAGGAACTCACAATGCCCAGCTGGTACCCACTCTTCCCCATGTATGTACAGTACATTCAACAAGAATTCATTGTCTAGGGCTAGGGAGATAGCTCAGCAGAATAAGCGCTTGCCGGGCAAGCGCAGGGACCTGAGTTCAATCCCCAGTAAAAAAAAAAAAAAAAAAAAAAGTTCATTGTCTATTGTGTGCCAGGGGCTGAGGGCACAGCAAGGGATAAAGCAAAACTCCCTGCCCCTGATTGAGCTAATATTTGGCCCAAGAAACAGCATCAGCTAATTAATATATACCAACAAATTTTAATGAGTGTCATGGCACCTGCCTGCAATCCCAGCACTCAGGAGACTGGGGCAGGAAGATCTTTTCGAATTCAAGACCAGCCTGGGGTACACAGTGAGCCCAAGGCTAGCCTGAACTGTATAGTGAGACCCTGTCTCAAAAAGACAAAAAA